GATTCTAGTAAACCAAGTTGAGTAAATTGAACAATTATATTTTAGAGTGCCTAAACAACTCCTTTCATGTTGAGTTCCAGTCATTTTAAAATTTGTCTCATGTAATTAAGTGTTAAATCTTAATTAAATTAAGTAAAAGTGTTATTTATAGGTTTTGAATGTAACAAAATTAAAGTAAAAGTTACAATTAAAAAAACACTTGGTAAAATTACAGATCCATCCATTATCTTAACCTCTATCTTCCTTTCAGGGACACTGGTGCCCATATTCAGCAGTCACAGTGGGAGGGGTGGGGGACACCCTGGACAGGTCTCTCATGTCCATCACAGGGACACATTGAGACAAACGTTCTCGCTCTCACTCACACCTAGGGACAATTTAGAGTTACCAGTTAGCCTAACATTTGTGTTTTTAGTTTGTGGGAGGAGACTTGGAGTGATTGGAGAAAACCCACACATGCATGGATAGAACATGCAAACTCCACCCAGAAAGCTCCTCAGCCAGGATTTGATCCAGCAACCTTCTTGCTGAGAGGCAACAGCTCCACTAACTGAGCCACCGTGCTGCTCTAAAATTACAGAGGCTCGAAAAAAAATCAAGTACTGTAATAAAGTAAATGTACTTTGTTGCGATACACCTCTGCAAACTTGCTACTTATTAGTAAGAAAAAAGAAGTGCTGAGAATATCTTTCAATATATTTTCTTGACTAAATGTTTTTATATATAATTTTACCAACAGACCAACTTAATCAAATCAGCAGCTGAAGTTTAAAAGCCTTTCTCCGACTGTTATATGTCAATTAAAAGTTCATGTAAATAAGTCAAAATAGCTCTTTAGGTTTCTGTTGTGTGGCGACACGTCGGTGAGAACTTACGCGCCGCACTGCACATGCATGGAGCCAACCTCAGGCATCATCCAGCCCATGGCCTGCAGGGAGGGGTAGTCATCGCTGACCTCCACGCTGCGGCCCATGAAGTTCTCCTTCTCGAAGATGATCATGCGGCTGCTCTGGTGGGACTGAAGGGGACACACACGCAGAGGCAGGGTTTCACTCTCTCAGATCTGTGAGGGCTCAATCAGGTGGACAGGTGGGTGTACTCACGGCGCAGTAGATGGGGCGCAGGGACATGAGGCGCTCCACATGGTAGGAGATGGACCCGCTGTAGGAGTCCCAGTGGGGGTATTCGCCTCTCTCCAGGATGAACTGCTGGCCCTGGAAGTCGTGGTGCTCGAAGCCCACCCAGCTTCACAAACAGACACACAAAGGGTCACTTTATGCATCCATGTTTGAAACAAAATTTTGAAAACAACGAGGGGAAATAATGCAGCTGTGTGGCTTTATCCTTTGAGAGACTTACGCTCCGCTCTCCACCCTGATGGAGCGGATGTTGTCCAGTCCACACTCCTGGATGTTGTAGCACTCAGAGGTGAACTCCAGGCACTTTCCCTGGAAATGCTCCTGCTCGAACACGGTCACCTGAGGAACACCGTTTTTCTTTTGTTACATTTTTTTTACGCTCTTTTATGTCAGGGATGCACAAATCAGAATCAGAAACTAATTTGTTGCGCAGATAAAGGTGAGTTTTACCTTGAAGAAAGGAGCCATGCCCATTCCTGAGTTGAACATYGGCTGCATCATTTGGGACTTTGTAGTTCTGTACATCTTGACCCCTGATGAGCACAGAAAGGAAGAAAACAAAAAAGATTTTATCTTTAAAGGATGTTGAAACTCTAATATTTTTGATGCTTATTTATAACTATTTACTTGCTTTATATATACATAAACAAGAGAAGGGGGTTTCAGTAAAACAAGTGCTTCAGCTGGACGGAGAGCAGAGAGCTTACCTATAGATGGGCACGTTACTGGAAGAGTTCGGGAGTGGTACACACGCCTACCGCCTGCCTTTCGTAGAGCTTTGAGAGAACCTGGCGCTTCAGTTTTATACCGACAGTGCGCGTCCACGCCTCTGGCAGCAGAGGTGAGGAGTGGCTCCTCCTCCCCTCCCTCCCTGGTGACCCTGCACACCCCGGCTCCTCCACCGCGCCCCCCTCAGGAGTTAGGGACGCTGTTGTCCCGCTCCAGCGGCTCCAGCAGGCCAGCTCAGCAGATCCTATAGAGCTCCAGAGGCTGGAGAACAAAGGCGCTCCGGTATGTTCGGGCCCCRGTCAGCAGTCCAGCGTGTGTCGCGGCAACAAAGGGGCCTGGATGGTGGTGGTGTGTGGGGGGATTAGCACAGCAGCAGAGAGGCTCACCAACAGAGATGAATGAGTGGATCTGATGTGTTAGAAGAAAACAAAAAACTGTTTTTCCTTCTCTTGTCTTCAGATGCAGCCGTGCCTTCAGGTGAAGGTGTGCAWTTCAGGTTCACAAAGGTGGGCTCAGGACCCCACTGAGACGCCAAAAATGAAGTTCTTGGAACAATTTCCACCAATCTGAATGTATTTACACCAATACAGTTAAAAAATAAAGTTTTGGATTCAGTTAACAAGATTATGTCAACAGGRCTCACCCACGGGATGCAGGATGTCAGGCATTTACTTCATTTTTACTTTTAAAGTGCATCTAAAATGTGCTTCATGTTTACTCAGCTCAGTTAAGTGGAACCAGTCGACATAAATTGATTGAGTGTAGTTTTAAAACTCAGAGTTTAATTTTAAGATTAAAGTCAGATTTCTGATTTATTTTCACAGAATTAGGAAAAAGTCAGAATAAAGTCAGAGCTATTATCTATGGCCCTGATCCTCTTCCGTACAATCTCATGTGAAATCCCCAGACATGTTGTTAAAGACTCTCAGCTATTATTCCTAACATTATTTGTGTTTATTAAGGACACCTGCTGTGCAATCTGTTGTAGAGGTATATTAAATTATTTCCTGAAACTTTCATTAAATTTCCATCCAGTGGCTAAGATATTTTGCTAACAGACAGGCAGAGTTGACTCCCAGTAATGACATTTTAAATTAAGACCTCATTCGATATGTTAGTGCCCAGAATTTACTGTATGTATTGAGTCTCAGCTACTACTACACCAAATGTCAGGTAAATATCAGGTATCTGTAAGTTTGTCTGAGTTAGAGATATTTTTATGTTTTAGTCAGGTAGTTGTGGTGGCCATGTTTAATTGGTTTGACTCTAAAAAACAAGTGTTTGATGCACATTCAGTGATTATGTTTTGAAAGTTTCATTTAAAATCATCCAGTGGATCAAGAGACATTTTCTTAACAGACAAAAAAAAAAGAAAGAAAGAAAAAAAGCCCTCAGTAAGTTTGAGGAACAACATTCAGGATTTAATGGCGTTAACACATTTAATCGATGCTCCACTGCTGTTCGCTCATTAGAAACAAACAAATAAATAAAAGCATTCAGAGGTACCATCCAGTCAAAGTAGTAAATGGTTCAATCCTCCTGCAGCAGATTGAATGACCCTGAGCAAGACCCCCCACCACCACACAAACACTGTTTCACATCCCACCCTCATCAGTCTGTGAGTGAGAATGTAAATGTTCAGTGTGTGAAACATAAAGTTCAAGTTTCAGTAAAGTAGGACTTACAAAACGCTTGAGGAGCTAGAAAAAAACCTAAAACTTTATTTAAACAAAAAAGAAATGACGACGAGGCAGAACAACACTTACAGAAAACTGGAGGAGCATAAGGAATACAGGAAAGCAGCGAGGAGGACTGGAAGCGAACGCCATGATGTTCAAATGAAGCAAGGACTGAGAACTGAGGGAACTGATGAGTGGAGTGGCTGCAGTTGTGACAGGCGAGATGGGTAACAGGCGGAGGTGACAGGCTAGGAGGAGTGGCTGATGGCACAGAGGCATTCTCAAGATCTACACATAAATAAGAGCACGAGAGCCAAAAAAGCAGGAAATAAAAATGTTATTTATTAATTTTTATTTAACCAGAAAAATACCATTCAGATCAAGAGAAGCCTGGGTTGGAAAGCAACCTAACATGCATGTTTGTGGGCTGTGGCAGGAAACCTTAAGCATGAGACCCCATGTCAGGACTGAGGATTGAACCCAGGACCTTCTTGCTGTGAGCTATTAATGTCATGCTGCTGATATATAACCAAAAAGGCAATAAACTTAATAATAAACACAAAAGACTACAAAACTCAACCAGAATATCCTGAGAGTAAGGCTTTATAGAGCCTGGAGGGATTAAAAACGGTAAAATAATGTATTTGTTTGTTTACACTGCTGAACTCATTTATCCAATAAAATCGTTTTTTTTTTWACATGGATTTATTCTCCTGAGCTCCTGTGTTTGGTTTGTCTCTTACACACAAATGGATGCAAAATTAGACATCACTCACTTCAACAAAGTTGAAAACCATAACCAACGTAATCTAAAATACGAAACTTTCAACCAGAGACTTTGCTCTGACTTTTTTTYCCCCTCTGCCCATCCTCTCTGCCTGTCCCCCTCTGATGAGGTTGGGTTTCTTTTGTCTCCCTCCTCTGACCTCAGCAGGTTTGTTTCTCTGCTCATAATCCCTCTCCTGTGGGCGCCAGCGTATAAAAGCCGGGGTCAGTCTTTGAGCTGCACACACTCAGAGTGAGTCTCGGTTCAGACATCGCACACACAAACAGGTAAGGTGCACTGGTAGGGTGAGGACGTGCAAACTTTAAATTGTTATTTTTTTAATTCAGATAAAGTTTGCTGGTAAAAAAAACAACTCTTTTGTGGCTTCTTTGCTCAGTAATCATGTCCGCTGATAAGTCCAAGACCTCTTCCCAGACTGACGGCAAGGCCACTCAGGGCAAGAAGTCCGAGATGGGAATGATGTCCTACAAGGTGGGTTGCTCCTTGAAACTCCTCTATTATGGCCACATTTATCTAGAAAATAAACAATTATTAAGTCCTCTTGTGCGTTTTCTCCCACCAGATGTACGTGTTCGACCAGGAGAACTTCCAGGGTCGCATGATCGAGATCACCAACGAGTGCATGAACGTGTGTGAGATGGGCATGGACCGCGTGCGCTCCCTGCGTGTTGAGTGTGGACCGTGAGTTCCTTTCATCAGATCTTTTCCCAGATCGAACTCTTTGCCTGGATTGGCTCCCTAACTCTGTCTCTCCCTGCAGCTTCGTGGGATTTGAGCAGATGAACTTCTGCGGCGAGATGTACATCCTGGAGAAGGGAGAGTATCCTCGCTGGGACTCCTGGAGCAACTGCCAGAGGAACGACTACCTGCTGTCCTTCAGGCCCGTCAGGATGGTAAGAACACGGCGGTCCGSTCTTCTCCCACAGATTCCCCCTCTTTTAGCTTTAGAGTTTTCTTTAAACAAGRGGTTTGTTTCGTCCTTGAGGACCCCGAGAAGCACAAGATCTGCCTGTACGAGGTCGGTGAGTTCAAGGGCCGCAAGATGGAGATCATGGACGACGACGTCCCCAGCCTGTTCTCCTACGGCTTCACGGACAGAGTGGGCAGCGTGATCGTCAGCTGTGGAACGTGAGTATTGAGTGAAAGCAGCTGCTGCACTGAGATGCTTCCCCTCTTTAACCACTCCCCCCCCCCCACCCTTCCTGCAGCTGGGTGGGKTACCAGTTCCCTGGATACCGTGGCAGCCAGTTCCTGCTGGAGAAGGGTGACTACAGGCACTTCAACGAGTACGGCGCCCGCTGCCCCCAGTTCCAGTCTGTGAGGCGCATCCGCGACATGCAGTGGCACCCACACGGCTGCTACACCATGGCCAGCAAGTGAGGCTCAGGGAAGGAGAGGAAGAGGAAGAGCGGAAGTGAGGGAGAGGGGCGGAGGAAGAGAGGGAGGGGGAGAGACACCTGAGGCCTCTGCTCTCTCTCCCCCCCTCCCGCCACCACCCAGTCACAGAGAAGACCTCCGCAGAACGACCAGCCAGACCGTGAACCCCACCCTCCATCCCTCTCTGTCTCCTCTCTTCTCTTCCTCCCCTCTGAGCTGAGCTTTGCTCCCCCCACTAGCCCCCTTCTCCCTGTTTTCTCCTCTTTTTTAAGTCCCTCACTTCACACCCCTCCCTCCACAGTCCTCTGAGACGCCAAAGAGGAAGCAACAATACCTCTTGCTGTTTTACACACACGATTCTCGGCTCAGGGTTAWGATGCACCACGGTAAACTGAGTCCTCGGAGCCCCCACTATGTCACCCCCGCCCCTGTGCTTTACATCCTTCTCTGCTGTACAGAATCCTGGCCAAGTTTTCAATAAAAATATGAAYCTTGATTTCAAAGATGTTTGTCCTTTGACTTCTTCGTAATTTATGACGTGTTTCTTAATTTAACCTTTGGGGGGAAAAAGTGACTCAATTTTCTGTAAAAACTACTGCAGCAAAAAAAGACAATGGATCCTAAAATAACATTTTTAGACAACCGATCTTGTCACCTGATGGTGTAACTGCTATCGCACTGAAAAAAAACTAACTAACTGGTTCTACTCTTGTATACTTTTACTATAATAGTTCACCAGAGTTGCTACAGCTAGCTGCTAATATACTGGCACTTGCAAATAATCATAGAATCATATGTAAATAACTCAGTTATTTGGAGTGAGCAAGTCAGACGGGTTAAAATAACACAAGTTCTGCAAGTTAAAGAGAACACATAACTCTCAGTTACAACAGTAACAAAAACAAATACAGATGAGAAGATTAGTTGAAAATCTATTTTTACATTTTCTCAGTGCCTCAACTTTCTTTTCAAAACTAAAAAGCAATAAAATACACCTTAATTTTCTTCCTCTGAAGTGGTCTTCTAATGTTGTTTTAGATAAAATAGCTAACAGGTAAGATATTTATTGTTTATAACCTGTCAGCTAAACCCCACTTTAAAGATCCGATGCCTGTAAGATTTGTTTTGGTTTCTGACCCCTGAGTTTTAGTTGTTTGAATGTTGAAGTTTTTGTGTTTTCTAACTACATACTTTGTGTCATGCTAACTGTTAATAAATCAAAATATTCATCACACTTATGAACAGAATATAACTTTAATTACAAATATTTTCCCAGTAGAATATCCATAAAAAACATWGTTCTGATTTAAATCTGCTTCAGCAGACCTGCACTATTTTTTCTGTCGTTTTGCCGCATTTACTGTTCTGCTATTTTTATGTAGCCTTTTGCTACATTTAGCGTTTTGCTTCGTTTAACTTCTTTTAGTTTTTGTCCAGACTTTTGATACTTTTAGCTTGTTTTTTGTTACTTTTTGCTACTTTCTAATTTGTGTGTGTGTG